CGGATAAACCGCTCCGCTCCGCTCCGTGGCATGAAAAAAAAAACCGCTCCGCTCCGTGAGGCTTTTGGCTTCGGATAAACCGCTCCGCACCGCTCCGTGATAGTTTCAAATGAAAAAAACCGCTCCGCTCCGCTCCGTGGAACTTCAAAGAAAAAAAAAACCGCTCTGCGGAGCGGTTCTACTCCGTGTACAACCCTGGAAAAAATAAAAGCAACTAGGATCGGAGAAAATAGTTCATTCCCGACAAATACTCGAAACAATCCCCACACCACACAGTGATGACCACTCATAATCACATCGCCAACGACGGAACCAGTCCGAATCAAAACGGGGTTCGGTCGTGGCGGAAGCGCGAAGGTCGGGGGGACTATTGTAACAACAGAAGAAGCTCACACTACCCAAACACGCGCTTAGCGTACCACTGCGTGCGATGTAGAAAAAAATAATAATAAACATAAAAAAACATGTAGCGGCCCGTAGGCGGCATATCAAAGCACAGATCCAAATGGGGCAACAGCCAGCTGTGCCACAACGCCTGGTGTTCGCGACGTAACGCCATCATCCGTGGAATGGTTGGTCAAACCACGAGTACGGTGTTTTTGCAAGCACCAAGAACCGCAAGGGGCATCAAAAACCGTGGAGTAACTATACTCCGGGAGAGACAGTTGTCGAGGACCGGGGATGGGTGTCCAAAAATCGAACAACGTACTGGCCTGTTGCGAAACTACTAGTCTGCCCAAGCCGCTGTGACACCCTGCCAAGGTAATCGGTCCCCACAAGGTCCACGGGCAGGAACCCTGTCAGGGTGCCGCCCCTGCCAGGGTTGTATAAGTCGGTCCGTATGATACATGCGTGTTTGGCCTAGAGGATACAGCCCCAGCAGTCTACCGATGGTCCAGCCGTCTACTGATGGACACGGCCGTTACATTTTTGGATGGTGTTCGCTGGTGTTCGCTGCTGCGGGGAAAGTGACACAGTAGTCCCGCGTTGACACGTTCAAGAAATTAAAAATTATTACCGCCAGCGTGCCAGGCTGTACTCTCCGGAGTGCACGTATATATCCGAATGATGTGAGTCCGTGTTTCTACCCCGATATGCATATGGCATTCGCCATGCGGTAGGGCATGGAACGTCTGCAAATTCTAGTAGAAGTGCGTCTTGCTCGCGCACCGCAAGAAAACAAAACGTACTGCTGTAGACTACTTTTGGTATGAGCGATTTCAGAACTATGTATTATTNTAGTCCCGCGTTGACACGTTCAAGAAATTAAAAATTATTACCGCCAGCGTGCCAGGCTGTACTCTCCGGAGTGCACGTATATATCCGAATGATGTGAGTCCGTGTTTCTACCCCGATATGCATATGGCATTCGCCATGCGGTAGGGCATGGAACGTCTGCAAATTCTAGTAGAAGTGCGTCTTGCTCGCGCACCGCAAGAAAACAAAACGTACTGCTGTAGACTACTTTTGGTATGAGCGATTTCAGAACTATGTATTATTGGACAAAGAATGAGCAGCTGTTCGAATTCCTAAATTGTTTTCTAGGAAAGGAGCGTCCCGCCCGCCAGACGGTGTCGCCGTTTCTTTTTCGAGGGGAATTGGGTGGAGCCACAGCCAACGGTACTTAGATGCAAAGTACCTAGTTTTTATGTGTACTGCCAAACGAAAACTAAAAACCAACTCGAAGTAATAAATTAAAACAAAACACACACGTAGTCTGTGTTGAAGAATGCACACACATATACAGCAGTGCCGGAATACATCTGCCCACAGGTTTGACGGGCACCATGTACACCGGACACAACAACTATTCAGAACAAGGACGTCAGGTTTTGTGCCGATATATATACATCTGGCCGGCACTAGGCCGGAACACCTACTGTATGTAGTTTTAAAAAAGTCACGTAGCTATTTTTGTTTCTCCCAAAGCTATTTTTCCCGTCGTTATTTGCAATATGTAGAAACACACAGCAGTGTGTGTCCGCTAATACCACGAGGTACACCACCAATTCGTCGCGAAAGTTATCCCGGAGTCGTATCGATGGGCTAGGGATACATCATGTTGGAAATAAAGCTGATTAGCTTCGTCAACATAAAACGAAGCTCCCCTACCTACCATACCCACAACAATTGGTGATGTAGGCTACTTGTATTTTTGCCGGTACAGTACGATGAACAATCGTAGTTGAATCATGCACCTGCATACGGAGTTTTTCGCGCCCTCAAATGGGCTTCTGGCAAACATGTTCGAAGTCCTGTCGAAGTTAAGCCCTCTGATTCGGAGGCTAACACAAGCTTTTTCTCCCCCCAAGAGCAGTGCTAGATGCGCTATGCTATTGTACTTTTGAATGTGTCCACATGGAGTATCGTGTTACGCCATGGCGGCAGTCCATGCGTTGAGGTATGGTTGCTACAGCAAGAACGCTGAGTTGTATCTTCGGGCAGCGGCACACCAGCCGGAACTACATCTTGAGAATCGCACCTTCAAGTGGGGGACAAATCTACATAAAGCCGTGGTTTGCACCTTCACTCTTATACGAGACCCTCAACACAGTTGGCATCGACGCGTGAGGGTTTCGCCCTGCCTCCCCACCCCATTATCTCCGGCATTGCAGCTACCTGTGAACACCACATCCAGACGCACACCTATACACTTATAAGCCGAAGGCCGGCCATCGTTAGGCCTCTACACCAGCATTTGTTGTTGACCGTGCCGAATCGCTGCCCTCGAAAAACTTCGCTGGTCTGTGTGGCGCCAAGAGACACGTGGGCGTTGGGGCAGTATTGTTATTGATACTGCGAATCTGACTGCGGTGCCGTTGTTCGCAATGCNCAAGTGGGGGACAAATCTACATAAAGCCGTGGTTTGCACCTTCACTCTTATACGAGACCCTCAACACAGTTGGCATCGACGCGTGAGGGTTTCGCCCTGCCTCCCCACCCCATTATCTCCGGCATTGCAGCTACCTGTGAACACCACATCCAGACGCACACCTATACACTTATAAGCCGAAGGCCGGCCATCGTTAGGCCTCTACACCAGCATTTGTTGTTGACCGTGCCGAATCGCTGCCCTCGAAAAACTTCGCTGGTCTGTGTGGCGCCAAGAGACACGTGGGCGTTGGGGCAGTATTGTTATTGATACTGCGAATCTGACTGCGGTGCCGTTGTTCGCAATGCGCAAGCACCTCATTTTACGGTTCATACTCCCAAAGTTCATACAGGAATGTGTAAGATCGCTTCGCTAAAGTTTTTCACGCACCACCTACCCCAGTGCAACCAACAAGCATCCACTAGAACAACAACGACGACATCAGCAACAACAACAACTGCTGTTCAGAGGGTACTGTCATAATCTTCTTGAGTCTCACATTCCTCGAAGAACTCCACGATCGTTCAGACAAATGTGTCTTGGTTGATGCTGTGATGTACCTCATTCAAGAGGTACTTGTCGTAGCCGTTGCTGGACCCCGGTAATGCGAGCCGGAACTTGTGCCGCCAGACACGGTCTCTGCCCGCCCCCTGCGTTTTCCCGCGAAGCCGAGACCCCTCTGCTCCATCTTGGCCTTGCGGGCATTGGTGGTACGTTTGTACCTGGCGTCTGATGGCGTGTACAGGGTAAACCTTAGGACGGCCCNATGTACCTCATTCAAGAGGTACTTGTCGTAGCCGTTGCTGGACCCCGGTAATGCGAGCCGGAACTTGTGCCGCCAGACACGGTCTCTGCCCGCCCCCTGCGTTTTCCCGCGAAGCCGAGACCCCTCTGCTCCATCTTGGCCTTGCGGGCATTGGTGGTACGTTTGTACCTGGCGTCTGATGGCGTGTACAGGGTAAACCTTAGGACGGCCCCGTCCCCGCAGTGACAACGTCGGATGCCCGGTGATGGAATCGGACACCCGCTCGTTACCATGGCCGACCCCGACGTAGTCGTACGCGAGTACCCACCACGTAAATGGTGATGGCTCACTGCTCAAGGAGTTCTTGTTTCCTCTTTGACGGAAGAAGTAGATGATCTTGCTGAGGGTGAGTTGGTCTGCTGGTGGCGGTCCATGGTCGCCCGTCGGCGGTGGTTTGTTGAATATCTCGACATCGTCTGCCTGCCCCTGCCCCAACGCCCAGTCGTCAGGCGGCCCAGGCCGTGCGGAGGCCTTGACGTCGCCACCCTTCATGCCGCCCCTGGCCACAGCTCACTACCTGCGCAACGTGCATGTGCCTCGAACATTCTAGCAGGCTACTACAGTTGTCCAAGGTGTCCTCCTCATCCCAGCAGAAGGGGCACCGAATGTCGCAGCACTGCTCATCCCCTCCGCACCCATAATACACCTTGTACTGCGCGATCAATGCCGCCTCGTCGGGGCGAAAGTTGCCATCGGCGGTATAACCTCGACTATCGCCACTTGCTTTAACCTCATCACCCTACTTCGAAAGAACTGTCGAGACACAGGGTTAGCAACCATAGCAATACAGCGACGCCTGTGATCCCAGGTCTTTGGCCCAGAAGGGTCGCTCGAGGGTTTNAACAAATTCGTCCTCCCGCTCAAATTTGATTGGACGTTTTCGATGCCAGAGCCGAAAACTGAAAGGCGTCTCGGCGGTATAACCTCGACTATCGCCACTTGCTTTAACCTCATCACCCTGCTTCGAAAGAATTGTCGAGACACAGGGTGAGCAACTAAAACATTTCAACGATGCCTGTGATCCCAGGTCTTTTGCCCAGAAGGGTCGTAACCGCATCCTAAAAACCATCCTAACCCCTCCCAATGGCCAAGTTGGGCTCAGCCAAGGTAAGGCGTTCAACCGGCCTGACCAAGTGCTCGGATGGCCTGTGAGGTGTGCAGGACAGAGTGGNCTTAACACGCAGAGTGGAATAAGAACAAAATATTATTCGAAGATATTAGCTTAACTTGATCTTTTGCAACGTTCAAGTAATATTAAATGCGAAAAGCCGTGTTCTTGGGTGAAAGGAGTTCGGGCGTTTCCAAATGTAGACGAGCGAAGAAAAAAAGCTAAAGAATAACCCGGGGTGCAGCTTCATTAGAGCTATGTCTCATTCGTCTATTGGGCCTCCCTCGGACACGCAAAAAAACACACTTGCCCGTGGGCCTATCGCTGGAACGCACGATGCCTGGCCTTTCTAACGGCTGCGACGACGGCGAATAGTAGCAACAGCGGTAGCAGAAGTGGCACCATATAAAACACGTCGCGGGAATGCGTCGATTTGCAGGTCGCGGAAGAAGGATCCATTGGCGGCTACCCAAAAGCAAGACGAACAAAGCAAGCGCCGAGGTGTTTTTCGCTGGTAGGGGTGACAGCAATAGCGATCACCCGGGTGCGTTTTGAGGCGCTTTCGTGCATCGCCGTTTCTTTTTAGGGTGTGTGTGAGAGAGGTGCCATGGGCACCGGCATGTTATTAGGAACACGCTTTCCAACGATATTGGATTGCAGAGCATGGCAATCTTTCCTATAGGTGTGTGCACCCCCAAACAAAACAAAGCCCAATGCAGGATGGGATAAAAGGAGACCGCAGTGACGCAAGCACCCCAATCTATTGTATGCCGCTCAAAACCATGCACACCAATGCCCGTCACAGGAATAATAGAGGTCAGAAAGACTTACCACGTCACGCGCGAAAAGGTCGAGTTGGGCTAGCTCCAGATCGTTGTGAGAAGGCACACGCACAGCGCATGACAGGTGTGACGCCACCTGTACCAGATTCTGAAGCACCTCGAGCACCTCGAGCACCTTCTCGTCTGTCCCCCAAATGTCTTTCAATTCGGCGATGTCCTGCCTCTTCGTGTACTTCTTCTGCGAGGGTGCAAGTTTTGTCGACAAATCGCCACAGGAATGGGTTCGGAGGGGGGGTTAATCCGGATATTGTACGTCGCTTCGAGAATAGGGCGGAGAGGTACCGGGTTGCACATGTCGCCCCGTGCTTGCAGGGTGCCAGCAGAGGAGGACTGTGGGTGCCGTGCCTCAAGCTTCACCAATGCCGCGGAATGGGGGGGGGGGCGTCCCCCTGTCTCGCACGCCCTAGTTAATACTGCTAGGCTATTAATTGACCACGGGTACTCGGGAGGTCCGATCACCGATGGCGAATCGTTCCTGCTTACTTGCCGAATGTGGTTCACAATCCCATCAACATCACTTTCCGCCTTGTCAGCCCCATTCCTGTGCCCGAGCATAGCTACTGTCTCTCGTGCTAAATTCCATGCCTCAAACATGTCTCTGTACCTTCCTCCTATTTCGTCCAGCCCAGCCATGTACATTTATCTGTATCTTTTTCGTAAGACGGACCATCAGCAACTATCATGTTGTATACGTACTCTCCTATTCATACGGTACGATCAACACGAAGCAGAGGTCTCCTCCCCCCTCCGGGCGCTAATGTGAAAAACCTCACCATGGCTCCGACATTTGCAAGAATCGGTCGGAAGACGAGCAGCATGATGGACTGCAGTGTCCACTNGACGGACCATCAGCAACTACCATGTCGTATACGTACTCTCCTATTCATACGGTACGATCAACACAAAGTAGAGGTCTCCTCCCCCCTCCGGGCGCTAATGTGAAAAACCTCACCATGGCTCCGACATTTGCAAGAATCGGTCGGAAGACGAGCAGCATGATGGACTGCAGTGTCCACTAGTCGCTCCCAGTGAGAGACGAGTAGTTGGACACGATATCCTTGAGACGCTCCGTGCCAGCTGGGTATAGCAGAGAAGGGTTCTGAGCCACGACCGCCGAGACCAGCCGTCGAACCTGAGTTGACAACATCTCGAGGCAGGAAACTTGGCACAGCTGGCAGGACCCCTGCAAAACAAAAATAACACACACGGTTCGTGCGTTGTATTTATCGTTTGAAAGAGACACGATCAACCGTGTCGCCATTGGAGGCCCAACTACTCGAGGGAGACACGACACAACGCCCTGGCAACAAACACCCGGAGATTCCTAAATCAATCGCGAACGGACGTTGGGGTATTTGAACGAGGTTACCTATTTCCGGCACGGCAAACATTGCGCCACCCTTGTCCGTCCCGCATTCGATATAAAACTCTCACCAGGGCATCGAAGTGCAGCCCTCCACAGGGACAACCGCGGTGGGGGCGGTGAGCATTGAGTCGTACATGGGCAGGGAGGGGCCGTTGGAGACTGACAAGCCCCAGTACCATCGATTGTCGAGACTGCTCTACGGGGTTGTCTGCGAGGGACTTTAGCGTATCGAACCCGGCCGTGATCTGGCCCCAGGTACGTCGATTTGCTTCGATGTCGTACTGGGCATCTCCCAGGTCCCCCCCGGTAATGTTGTCGCGTTGCTCAACCATGCAGTACGGACACGGGAACCTCGAGAAGTTG